ATCCCTGGGATCCCTGAGCCTGCTCAGGGATCGCGACGTCGGTGGTCAGCAAACCATATGATGTCTCAGGGATCCCAGGGATTCCAGGGATGCGAAGTCACGATCCCTGAGCAGGCTCAGGGATCCCAGGGATTCCAGGGATGCGAAGTCACGATCCCTGTGCAGGCTCAGGGATCCCAGGGATCCCAGGGATTCCTAACCCTCCAGCAAAACCGACTTGGGGATCCACCAGCGATCCCGCGCTCAGAATCCCTGGGATCCTTGAGCCCGCACAGGGATCGCGACGTCGGTTGTCAGCAAGGGATCCCAGGGATTCCAGGGATGCGACTTCACGATCCCTGAGCAGGCTCAGGGATCCCAGGGATTCCAGGGATGCGACGTCACGATCCCTGAGCAGGCTCAGGGATCCCAGGGATTCCAGGGATGCGAAGTCACGATCCCTGTGCCGGCTCAGGGATCCCAGGGACCCCAGGGATTCCCAACGCCCCAAATCTTTGCGAAGTCGCCAGGCCGATGCTGCTGGAGGGTCAGGAATCCCGGGGTCCCTGGGATCCCTGAGCCTGCATAGGGATGGTGACGTCGCATCCCTGGAATCCCTGGGATCCCTGAGCCTGCTCAGGGATCGTGACTTGGCATCCCTGGAATCCCTGGGATTCCTGAGACATCATATGGTTTGCTGACCACCGACGTCGCGATCCCTGAGCAGGCTCAGGGACCCCAGAGATTCTGAGCGCGGGATCGCTGGTGGATCCCCAAGTCGGTTTTGCTGGAGGATTAGGAATCCTTGGGATCCCTGGGATCCCTGAGCCTGCACAGGGATCGTGACTTCGCATCCCTGGAATCCCTGGGACCCCTGAGCCTGCTCAGGGATCGTGACTTGCCATCCTTGGAATCCCTGGGATCCATGAGAAACCATATGGTTTGCTGACAACCGACGTCGCGATCCCTGAGCAGGCTCAGGGATCCCAGGGGTTCTGAGCGCGGGATCGCTAGTGGATCCCCAGGTCGATTTTGCTGGAGGGTAAGGAATCTTTGGGATCCCTGGGATCCCTGAGCCTGCACAGGGATCGTGACTTCGCATCCCTGGAAGCCCTGGGGTCCCTGAGCCTGCTCAGGGATCGTGACTTCGCATCCCTGGAATCCCTGGGATCCCTGAGCCTGCACAGCGATCGTCACTTAGCATCCCTGTGCATCCCTGGAATGTCTGAGAAATCGTATGGTTCGCTTATCGTTCTTGTTAGCGTTGCCGCTGATATCTTATACCTGTTCTCCCAAAGGCGGGATAAGGGGGCGCTTGCATCTGCTGAGGTTGAGGACGAGGAGGAGGAGGAGGAAGAGGAGGATGAACGAGGTGAAAGAGGGGAAGGAGATGCAGGATCAAGTGTTTGGCTCTCCAGATCACGTTCGTTATTCGATGCCGCCGTCTCAGGGCGAGAACCGAATCTGGCAGTAAAGAAAATGCGAGTGCGATCAGCGCGAACCGCGATGAAAATCAGTGGGTGCTGGGGGGGGGTTGCGCATGTATATATATATATATATATATATATATATATATATATTATTGTTATTCGTGTTCCTATCGTTGACATTCGTGGCATGCTATGTTGTTTCAGCTTGTCATATTATTGACATATCGATCACTACGGCAATACATTTTTCTAGTACAAGTTGCATTACCATTGCTATATATCAGTACAAGAAATGTGCAATTTCATGATTCTCATCATTGCTTGCAGCTTTGCATTTATTAGGTATATACACGATGAGTTCAACCCCTGTGATCCATATATGCCCCTCCCCGGCCTTCCCCCGAACCATCAACACCACAGCACGTTCACTGATCGTTTCCTCTTCCCTTGCTTCTGCTTGTGGATTCCAGGATTCTTCTTTGTTATGTGATCGTTGTTGTTGTTGCTGCTGCTGCTTTCCAATCGATCAACCTCCCCGCCCCAGGGGTGCGCCCCAGCTGGGCGTGGGTTGGTTGGGGCGCCGAATACAATCAAAACGGCAAATCCGCCAAACCACAACTAACAACAGGAAATGCAAAGCCACCATCCGAAACAATGAACGACACCTAGGCCCCGAGTGGATGCCGGACGGAAGCATTCAACAACCTTTGAGTTTCGGTCGTTTTTTCAACAACAATCTTTTCGGGGCCTCGGTTACGTTGATTTTTACGTCTGGGGGTTCTGATTTTAATGTGTTCTTGTGTTGTGATTGATTTCCACGTTTTTGTTGGTTTCTGGTTTTCCGCGCCTCCATGGGGGCGAGGCGGGGGCGGCGCGGGGCGCAATTCGAGACGCGAGGAACAACATTGCAACCAGAGCCTCCAGGGGAACAAATCAACGAAACCTGGGCCCCGACTGGTTTTCGGACGGGAAGCATTGAAACACCTTGGAGTTTGTATTGTTTTTTTCAACCGCACAAGTTGGGACCTAGGTTTGTTTGTTTTTCGCCTTGGGGCTATGCTTTTCATGTTGTTCCTTGTGTTTTTATTGTTTGTTTTTTTGTTGTTGGTTTCTGGTTTT